CAATTATTTTCAATCGTTATGAGTCTACCGATTGAATAGAATTTTATTATAAACAATTGTCTTGTAAATGGAATTTTTAAAAGCATTCTGAATGTAGAAATAAAGAAAAAAGTGTGCAAGACAATAAGAAACACTACCTGCCAAAAAGTTTTGTTGAAATCGGTTGAAAAATGTAGGAAATCCGATCCCATATATAAACGAACACACACACACACACACACACACACAAGCAACCTGAATTTTATAATAAGTATAACTCGATATGAGTTGTCCCCCTTTCATTCTCGTGATGCCTCTTAATCGTGTTTTGAAATTGATTTCGTGCAAAAACAATTGTGGTTTTCCAATTTTTGGTGCTGTCAGAATCCCCGCAAGGTAATTTTACGTAGTCCTGTGAAGTTTTGTTGAAATCGGTTGAAAAATGTAGGAAATCCGATCCAATATATAAACGTACAGACACACACACACACACACACACACACACACACACACACACACACACACACAATCTGCGTCTTATAATAAGTAAGATATAAACTCTGTTTATATTATATATATATATATATATATATATATATATATATATATATATAAACAAAACGTAATTGGTAGGAATTTCATTTCATAAAATCTAGTCGGTCTGATGAGATGAATATGCATATATTCATTGAAATAATTTATTGCAGAAAATGAATTTTTCAAGTTTTTCGTAATTATTCTTACATATATATCGGTGGATGTATGTGTGTGTATGTATGTATGTATATATGTATGTATACCCTAAATTGCGGCGCATAAGTCTACCGCAAGATTTTTAGCTCGAAATTCTGAGTTAGACCGATATCTACCGTATAGGTCGACCCCCAAACTTACATAAAAGCAATTAAATTTTTTCTCTAATTAATGTCTTAGTTTTATTGTATGGTATATTTTATGATTCAAACCATTTTTTCGGTAACTTGGTGTTTTGCTTTACAAAAGAAAATTGATGATTTAAATTCTCCACAGATTTCTGTTTATAACTAATATAATATAGAAATTAATTTTTGTACGGCTTACCGTAAAAAAAAAAAATTGAATTTCTCGAAATTTTATAAAATGAAATAAATGATGGCGGGGGGGGGTAACAGATGTGAAAACATATTTTTACCAAAATTTTAGAAGACAGAAATGATTTCAATCCTTTGTGAATAAGTTGTGAAAGTTTGATTAAAATCCGACATTAGTTGATTTTTGCAAGAATTTGCAATCAGTTTGTTTTTCACCACAAAAAGAGGCTAAAAAATTGCCGTACTAACTTATGACGCAAGAAAAAAATAAATTCAACCAAAATTTTGAATGTTCTAAAAATGATTAAAAAATATAATTTAATAATAAAAAAATCCTTTGTACTTTCCTCTTAATAGCATAACGTTTTGACGATAAAACTTTGTTTTTCAGATCTCAACATCTCTCAGAATTGAAACTTAAATTATAATTGCATTATTCCCAAATTTTAACACATCAGCAGATAGTTATTAATCTCAACAACTGAGCACAAATATTTATTAATTAAAAAAAATAGTAATTAATGTATAATATTATCCATAAATACATGTACAAGAATGTCATTTTTGAAAATCCTCATAAATACATAAAAAATGTGTATATTGTCGTAAATTCCTTTTTCCACAATATAGATATTTGTACTATGTTAAAAGTTTATTACTAAAATATTAATAATTCTGAATAATTTTTTTAAACATTAAACTACATTTCATCACATCTCCCGAATAGTTGTCGCTATCTGTAATTTTGATGCATTTTTCATCATATATGCTTATTTTTAGCGAATTTTGGGAGAGACCTATTTTGAAATACATTACTTAGAGTTAACCTGCAGAAAAAGTCAATATGTATAAAGATAAAAGACAATACAAAAACTGCATTATTAGCCGACGCGTTTCGTCCAATGTGGACTTTTCAAGGTAAAAACGAAATGAATTTATTGAAAACAAAGTAAATATTAACAAGAAACAAAATATCCTTAGCAACTAGAAGAATACAGTAGCGTTTTCTATATTCTTTTAGTTGCTAAGAACATTTTGTTTGTTGCTAATTGTTACTTTGATTTAATAAATTCATTTCGTTTTTGCCTTGAAAAAATCCACATTAGACGAAACGCGTCGGCTATTATATATATATATATATATATATATATATATATATTTATTAAAGACATTTTTGTTTAACGTTCTTTTTTATAGATACAAGTATTTAAGTAAATGCTCTGTTTATAATAAACAGTATTAAATAACATTTACCGGCCTGAATGTCCGAGAAATTTTCATAGAAAATATTCGTCCTTTGACAGGATTCGAACCTGCATCCTATACGGAAAATGTTATTAATACTGTTTATTATAAACAGAGCATTTACTTAAATACTTGTATCTATAAAAAAAGAACTTTGTCCATTTCTTAATGTATGACGTCATTTGTTTACATTCGATACGCCAGAGCAGTTATGAATGTACGAGATTCATGGAAGATTGAAGTTTATAAGCAGTAAATTCGACCTTGCCTACCGAACGCTCCTTTGTGGCCGAGAGGTTAGGCACGTCAGCGTAAATTATATGTATAAAGCTCTAGGTTATCCTATCGAGCACTGTTTTAAATCGACTAATATGGAACGCGTATATATATATATATATATATATATATATATATATTACACTACATTTTGTCTTTGGCGATATATTATAAACCTGATTATATTTCAATAGATGCTTGTATCATGGCTGAAATCGTTGAACAAGCAATCGTTCGTAGAATTTTAACAGACTGAAAGAAACAGGCTAGGGGAATTTGCCACTCACAGGATATGTTAAAGGCAAAAACGTCACATAAAATAACCTATTTAATTTTGACTTTAAATCCAAGTTACCGCTCTGGGTTATTTACAACAGAAAGATATTTGGGATTACAAGAATATTTTTCTTAGCATTTCTTGGGAGACATTTTTATTTGATGCAGTCCCTACAATTTAACTCGGGATGTACTCGTAACTTTCTAAGGCTGTTCCCGCGTAAGTGAATGCCGCGAACTCAACTCGAATCTGAACTCCGTTCTCAGAATTCTCATCCCAGCCTCTATCCATTACACCTCCTGCACACCCAGATTTATAAGAAAGGTATTTATGCGGATATGTAGTTTTCGTGTGCTCATGAGTTGGCAATATTATTCATAGCTTCATCTATGTAAGCAAAGAACGTTTCTGACTCGCTTCGTCTGATCTAGAAAATGGTAGACATATTTTAATTTCCTATCGTATTATTTAAATTCTGCCACAACAAAGCAGACTGAAACGGGGAAAGATAACGAATACTTTTATTTGTTCCAAATGCAATTTATTCACTGGAAATCAGTGCCAAAGAAAGAATAAGAAAAAAGGAAAATCTCGTTCGCTTTACATATGAAACTGATTGAAAATACATAAAAAAAAGAAAGCCCTTGGTATTTGAACGCCGACAGAGATATTTTGCCTGAGGCGGGAAATAACACTACCGTTGCTGTCACCGAAGGGGATAAAAAAAATGACGACCGTCGAGTCCAACATGATAGCAAAAGGCAAAAAATAGTCATATAAAATAAATAAAAGTCAACAAAACAAGAATGTAATTATGTCTAATTCGTTGTAAAAGTGATAAAAAGTTACCTTACATAAGGATTTACTAAGCGAAGCATAGATGTGGCACAAGGCCGAAAGCACTGAGCACCGAGCGAGACTCTAGGGGTACGTACTACTCAGTCGTAATTGTTCCATAAAGACCATCTTGCTAACCATTAAATCACGTAGAAGTGCCCAAATAGTTGATTACGTAAACATCCGTTAATAGGACTGTATAACTTCGCCTATCGCTCGGTTCACACTCCTCTCCAGTTTTTGAACAGGTGTAGCAGTATCTACACTATTTACATTATTCGGAGTGTTGTCTTCATGTTTCTAGTCATATTCATGACGTTTCAGGCGTTGTACGCTCCGGATTTCTTCAGGTGATTGGAATTTCGAACCAAACCCTATATTTCGTCCAGCTATACTTCTAGTTCCGTGTACCCCGCCTCTTCTGGATATCTCAATTATTCCTCTTTAGTAACTCAACTCTACAAGTTTTTTGTTCACCTCTGCTGTGGCCAGGTATTGAACTCACAAGTCTTTGGGTCAAGTCAATGGATTATTTCAACCAATGCTTCTATTCACTAGGCCATGTGTCTTCAAGATGTAGCGTACAACGACCGAAATGTCGTGACTATGACAACAACAAAGATGAGGTCAACAGTATGAAAAACGTAAATAGTGTAAATAGTTAAAATACCTGTTGCTACTTAGAAAAGGTTATTGAATGAGGAATAACCAAAGCGGAGTTTGGAAATGAAATGATAATCTTTATAACATCAACAAAATACAATACTCGCCAGCGGCGTGAAGTAGGTAAACCACTGCTAATGGTGGACTACGTAGACACCATATTACACCCACTTACAATAGTGTGTAACGTATTTATGAGGATTGGGACATACCCAATAGGTATAGGTATGGTCTATAACAGAAAGGAGAGAGAGAGGTAGAGAGAGAGGAGGAGGAGGAAAGGAGAGATAGAAAAAAGAGAAAAGGAAAGTGTTGTAACCTAGAAAGGGTTACTGAATGAGGAATAACCAAAAGGGAGTCTGGAAATGAAATGGTAATCTTTATAACATCAATAAAATACTATACTCGCTAGCGACGGGAAGTAGGTAAACAACTTCTAGTAGTGGACTACTTAGACATCATATTACGATATTTATTAAAGAATTAACAGAAACGAAATGGAGTTAACAAAATAATCCAGGTAAGTAGTAGCACGAATATTCAAGTGGCAAACACCGTTCGGTATAAGGTCTAAAAAGACATCATATCAACCCTACTTGCAATAGTGTTTAACGTATTTATGAGGATTGAGACATACCCATCAGTATTCATAGGTACGGTAAATAACACTATCTATATCTATCTATCTATCTATCTATGTTATCTATCTATCTATCTATATCTATCTATGATCTCAATTCATATCTATCTTTCTATCTATCTATCTATCTATGTCTATTCATATCTATCTATCTATCTATGTCAATTCATATCCATCTATCTATGTCAATTCATATCTATCTATCTATCTATCTATCCATCTATCTATATATATATATATATCTACATATATATATATATATATATATATATAATTATATATATATATATCTCATTCTGTTCATATCTATCTATCGTAACCTAGAAAAGGTTACTGAATGAGAAATAACCAAAACGGAGTCTGGAAATGAAATGGTAATCTTTATAACATCAACAAAATACAATACTCGCCAGCGACGTGAAATAGGTAAACCACTGCTAATGGTGGACTACGTAGACACCATATTACCCCCACTTACAATAGTGTCCAACATATTTATGAGGATTGTGACATACCCATTAGTGTTCATAGGTACGTTATATAATACTATCTATCTATCTATCTATCTATCTATCAAACTCATTCTGATGTATCTATCTGTTGTCACCTAGAAAAGGTTACTGAATGAGGAATAACCAAAACGAAATTTGGAAATGAAATGGTAATCTTTATAACATCAATAAAATACAATACTCGCCAGCGACGGGAAGTAGGTAAACCATTGCTAGTGGTGGACTACATAGACACCATATTACTATATTTATCCAGGTAAGTAGTAGCACGAATATTCAGGTGGCAAACACCGTTCGGTATAAGGTCTAAAAAGACATCATAATACCCCTACTTGCAATAGAGCCCAACGTTTGTATGAGGATTGGGACATACCCACTAGTGTTCACGGATTCGGTATATAACAATACCTAATCTCAGAAATATAGACAGATATTACAGGAGTCGAGAAATTCGCCTATTCTCCGGTTCACACTCCTCTCCGCTCTTTTGAACAGGAGTAAAGGTATTTACACTATTTGCATTGTTGTCGTCATCTTTATTGCTATATTCACAACGTTTCGGCCGTTGTACACTCCGGACTTCTTCAGGTGATATACAGTGGCATATCGATCCGAAACCTCAGTTTAGTCCACCGGGGAAGATTGTTCTAGTTCCACGTGCCATGCCTTTTCTGGATATCTCAGTATAAGTTATTTCCCTTTAGTAACTCAACTCTCCAAATTTTTGTTCACCTCTGCTGTGGCCAGATATTGAACTCACAACTGTTTGGGTCAAGTCACTGGATTACTTCAACCAACGCTTTTATCCTTGGGGACACATGGCCCAGTGGATAAATTCCAACGAATATCACCTGAAGAAGGCCAGAGCGTACAACGACCGAAACGTCGTGAATATGGCTATAAAGATGAGGACAACAGTTCAAATCATGTAAATAGTGTAAATAAATAAATAATACTAACACTCAAGGAAAATATCTTAAACTGAGATATACAGAAAAGGCATGGCACGTGGAACTAGAAAAATCTATCCTAGTGGGCTAAATAAAGGGTTTGATTCGAAATTCCGACATATATCACCTGAAGAATATCTGAACGTACAACGGTCGAAACGTCGTGAATATGACGACAAAGATGAGACTGAAGAGGAGTGTGAACCGGACGATAGGCGTACTTATTGACTCCTTCAGTATCTGTCTATATTTCTGAAATGAGCTATTGTAACTATTTATACTATTTACCTTGTTTAGACTTCATGATGTTTTATTTAAAATTCGTTATGGGCATCAGATTTTGCCACCAGCTTTTCGTGTCGCCCAGGAATCGCGTCAGCTGATTTCACCAGAAACTCTTGTGGTATGGAAGACATAACTTCTTGTTTTCGGCCTTCAAGTTCTTCCAATCCCAAAGAAAAAAAGTTACAGGGTGTTAAGTCAGGACACCTGACTGGCCCTTCATAAAATAGGCAGTTACTTTTCAATCACCCTTTAGACAGGTGTAAGAGACTTATCCATTGTTCCTTGTTTAGGATTGGGTTTCCGGTTTCTTTATAAGTCTTCTCGTTATCTTTCACTTCCAGTAGCCTCTGGCGTCTTAGTGGCATTATCGCCTTGCTTGGGGTAAATTGATTAAAAAAAATATTTAGTTCAGTCTGAGGCAAAAGTAATTACGATTTCTAGCACGTACGAGGCAAATATTCGGGTATGTGCCATTGTCAACGTCTTGAAGGGACACGGTACATGGAAGAAAACAAATATAAAATTGTTCTTGTAAATAAGCGATCTGATAAATAAAGTATTTAATATTTTAAAAAAATCTCAAATATTCGGGTATGTGAGATTTTTTAAAAATATTAAATACTTTATTTATCAGATCGCTTATTTACAAGAACAATTTTATATTTGTTTTCTTCTATGTACCGTGTCCCTTCAAGACGTTGACAATCATGGGCCGCCACAATTTCCTCTCGTTTGTAGATTTTAATAACTTTTGTCTTTTGCCATCTCTCCCAATTCCTGCTCTGCCAACCATTCTCTCAAGTTCGCCAGGTTGGTTAAGCATTAGTTTCCGTTGTCCATCTTACCGACATTCTGCCTTGTCAATATCGCTTATTAGATGACACGAAAATTTTAACTGTCTGTTAATGATGTTAAATGGAAGTGCCCTTTTTGTTACCATTTTCTCGAGAAAATTATCGTTACTTAATTGTTCGGTCGCTGGTATTCTTGGCATCTTTCTGTAGAAACCCATTTTTGCGGCTGTGGCACCATGCATCCAGGCAGAGAAAGAAAGGCAGAAAGAAAAAAGAAAGAAAAGAAGAAAGAAAGGCAAAAGTGAGGCGAGATCCGAATCATAGGTGATAAGCGAACACACACACGGCTAAGAGGCAATAAAAAAAGGGTTATTTTGATAAGTGGCAAATGGCGAAAGAGTGTCATTACAATGACAATGAGATTTGAGTGGGTAGGGAAGTGTTATCTAAGGATATGAAAACAAGCTATTGGTACGGGAAGGCATCTTATTATCAACACAGACCACCGGCCAAGGGAAAAATTCAAGTGAAAATGTTATTTCGATAAGTGACGAAAAGAAACAGGCGACTAAAAAAGACTTTGGACAGATATGAAAATTAAAGGCCACCTACGAGTAATCGTTGACCGATTTTCCTACTTGGCCTGCGCGAATGGAATTGTGTTATCAAGAAATGTTCGCCAAAGAAAGTCCACTTGAAAACGTTAATTTTGATAATTGACAAAACACAGGTGTAGCTACAGAGCCTTAGTTAGATATGGAAAATTAAAATCCCACACAAGCAGTCTCGCTAACTAAATTCTTTTCGACAAAACAACTTTTGCCTGCGATAATAAATTTATGTTATCAGGAATATGTGCCGAAGGAAAATGGGTGGGGACCCAGGGGTGTTTTTCTTTCTTCCTTGGAGACGTCAGACTGACTGAAAACTTTGGGATAATTCTTTTTTGAGGCCATGTTAAGAATACCAACCATCTTGATAAATTAGCGATAAAATACCTGACGTAAGCCACGTGTAGAACAAGAATTATGACCCCATTGTTCATATTTTCCCGTTGGTGGCCAGAGAAATGATACGGCGATTAAGGAAGAAAAGGAAAAGCAAAAGATAATTTTTTTTTAGTTAAGCAAGGTATTTTTTTTTCGAAACAAAGCCGCGGATTGTTCACGCCCGACTAAGACATCATTGGTCAAGTGGTGATCACGTGACGCACGAAGGAGGAGGAAAGATACCCGACTAAGACATCATTGGTCAAGTGGTGATCACGTGACGCACGAAGAAGGCTGTCGACGCCCCCATCCTGAGTGTAAGTATGAGAAGCTGCTACAAAGAAGTGGGGAGGGCAGTTCACGCCCCTCAGAAGTATGGTGAGAAAGTGGGAGTGAAAAAAAGTTACCAAAAATGGAAAAGAGTGGAAAATCCCTAACCAGAAATAAAAGAGGTGGATATGTATTTAGAATTATCGAGGAACCCCCCCGGACGCCAACAGACCCACCCCGGTTTTGGTCGGCGTCAATAAAATCCAGGCCCCAACAGGCAGAAATCAGTTCGGGCCCTGGCGGCAGAGATGAATGTCCAGAGAGTTCGAGCTCCAGTTTCCAGAGTTGAAGCCGCCTCGAGATAGCTGACCAAGATTCACGCAAAATTTCGGACTCCTCTTCAACCAAGAACAATTATTTTGAAGAGCGACTTAGGACCAGACCATCGAAATAAGTTTTTTTCGACTTTCGTCCAAAGACACACCGAAACACAAATTTCTTAGAGAGCAAACAACTTGAAGCGTTAAAACTTGCCTAGCGAAAACGACGTGTCACAATCTACAAAACGGGTCGGGAGATAGATGCAGTCCTATGTACCGAACAACTAGACATAAAGTTTGTTACCTTTTTCTTTGATACTTTGAACTTTTTGAGTTTTCATTTTATTTTCTTTTTATGCATATTTGTGTGTTATCACCCCTGTTGAACTCAATTTGCATTACGGCCTCAACCACTGTTTGATCTCGTCTGTCTAAGATCAATTCACAACGTGGGTAGGCAGACTGGAGATCAATGCAGTTACCTTTGGTAACCAGGCGTTGGAAGCGAGTTGGGAACGACGAGGCTGATATCAAATCTAACCAGATTCCCACCCGAATCACCAAAAGGTTAGAACGTCACATTTGGGTGCCGCGACCGATACCAAGCCAGTTGGTTGTCACAGGACGAGACAACACGACTGACGCGACAGGCGGACGTCACGTTTAGAGCAGCGACACCCGGACGGAGCAGCGAGGAGCGAACAGCTGGCGCCGCAGCGAAGACGTCACGAGTGGTGCTGTTTGAGGACGTCACAACTGGCGCCGTGGTAGATCAGGATAGAACATCACAGTTGGCGCTGCGACCGGGGGACGACGTCACATCTGGTGCCGTGACCAGGATCGGAACCTGGAGCGGCCACGTCACACTGCTTCAAGGTTTATTATTCATATGTAAGGAAATTGTCCAGCATTCACTGCCATATAGGAGAACTGATATTACATAACAGTTCAGTAGTATTTTCTTTGTTTCTCTTGCTTCAAGTCTCTTCTTCATCTTTGAGGAGATTGTCTAGCATTCACTGGTATATAGAAGGACTGATATTACATAACAGTTCAGTACTCTTTTCTTTGTTTCTGTTGCTTCAAGTCTCTTCTTCAACTGTGAGAAGATTGTCCAGCATTCACTGCCATATAGGAGGACTGATATTACATAACAGTTCAGTAGTATTTTCTTTATTACTGTTGCTTCAAGTCTCTTCTTCATCTGTGAGAAGATTGTCCAGTATTCACTGCCATATAAGAGGACACATATTACATAAAAGTTTAGTTTGTTTTATTGTTTCTAACAATAATTTTCTGTTTCTCAGTACTTTGCTTGGCTTTGGGAAGACATCTTTCTCTATCGCAATGCGTTTTTCGGATTTCCATGTGACACTTTCCGTTTTTTTACAAGAGTATAAAAACATGTCGAGAGAGAAAATTAATGAAATATCGTGAAAATGCATTTTTTAAAAATTTATATTTGCAGT